TCAGTCCAAAATAACTGGTTTTTACTACCAACCATAACCTAGGAACTTCTGGATTAACATCTTACATAATAGGCTGGTCATGAAAAATCTGCCTTTGGAAAGGGAAGTTGTTCTTCCTATTTTCCAAAGAGAATCAAAATGTCACCTTTTTTAATATTAAAATAAAGAAGTCTGTGTAGAAAACTACGTCGTTTTTTCACCGAACACCTGTGAGTGTTCTACAGATTCGAGGTTAAATGCAGATCAATAAGAGATCTTCTGAGGTTGCAAACTGGATGGAAATCATGAAGTAAAAGTATCACAAATGACAAATCAGGATCTTGCAAGCAGGAAAGAAGTATTTGGAATGAAATAAAGAGCCAAGCAGCAGTGATTTAAGTTGATATAGGATGCAGCTTCACATGTATCCCCAGGCAGAATGGTTTGGAGCTATGCAGCACATGGTGAATGAAAGCTCTGTCACTGTGAGTGATGTCATATAAACAGGTGAAGCAGTGCAGGGAACTTTTCACAACTTTGTTGTTTTTTTGGAGGGCTTTTTTGTTTGTTTTTTAGGGGATTGGCTTTTGGTTTGTTTGTTTGTTTGTTTTTATTTGAGTGAATCAGTCTATTGAAGTCATCTCTTCCTCAGTCTTCTCGTGACATAATGACAGTGTATTCCATCTCTGCCTCTTTATTTAAAACTATATAGAAAAGTGTGTAATTTTAGATAGTTATGCTTTTCTTCTGATATTTGTTCATTCAAGCTTTCCTATCAAACTTTGTAGACAAGAATACCTTTACAGGATTGCTTAATGCAAGTTGCAGTTATACATACAATTGTTTTGTGTGTTTTATTATGTCGAATTGAAGCTATATTAGTGTGTTCAAGTTTGTCTTCTCTAAACAAACAAAACAGGATCATTCTCAAATCCTGTTGATATTAATACATAACCAAATTTTGAAGTACCGATTCAAAAATATGAAGCTTCATCCAATGATGCTTTGTTTTAAAATTGGAGAAGTTTTTTCATTACCTCATACCTTACTTTTACACATATTAGTAGTTTGTCAAGAAAGAGCTATCCCTTGAAATTATTTTATCTCCTTGGGTTTTGGTTGTTGTTTAGTAGATGCTTTCTTACTATATTTTCTTACAGATGATTCCACATATGTGGCTAAGAAAGTTCACTAAAATCTAGTGGTGCTTCCAAGACTGCTATCACAGCAACTTACTCTCTCCTGTATCCCCATTATCCATATGGAGCACGTCTAAGAAATTCCGATCACCTTAGACCCAAGACTTGCAGCTGTTAAGATGTAGTTTGCTCTCTCCATGATCAGATTGCTACACTCTGACTTTATAAACACGTGGCTGGTCATATTCAATGCAGATGGTTTGGGACTGCTTGTGTTAAAAAAAAAATAAAATCAAAGCAAAGCGTTTAATAATGGCACATGTAAATGGTTGTATATGGGGTGGTGAAAAAATGTGATTCAGTCCTCAAGCAGTACATGTCACATGTTGTTTGAATCATCCAGTGCTATAAGAGTTTGGCCCAGCCTCAAATAAAAGATACTGAGTAAGATAAAGCTCATTCTAATCACAAAATCAAATCCTGTGCTCTTTTCCCAAACAACAGTGAGTTGGAGCCATCACGTAGTTTTGGGCAGACTAAAAGATTCTTCTGTTGCAGACAGATATTTAACATTTTTCAGTTGGTTTTTTTCCTCACTACTACTAGTAGAGTTAACTACTATATAATATCACCACACATTTTATACTAGTCCAAGTAGATTAACAGTACACATTTTAAATCTATCTCTTTTTCTCATGCACTTAAATCATAGTAATTTGATAGAATTCCTAGTTTGCATCTTTCCCAGGGGGTCCCTTAATGATTTGTTTCAATGCTTTATAGTAATCTTGCAGATGGGTTTGGCTTCAGCTTTCAATCAGTATTTTATACTTCACTCAGGAGCCTTAGAGATAAAAATTAGATTGGGTTTGCTACCAGACAAGAAGATATAACTGAATGCTATTTTTAAAAGCTGAGGAATTGCTTCTGTGTCCATGAATAAATTTTACTGAGAAATTAGTTAAGCAATAACACTAGAAAGAAACTGGAGAAGAATGGCCATTTCAACAGTACTGTTATAAGAAGTATTTTATATGTGATCTAAGTGCATTTATGTTTGACACTCTGGTTACATGAGCATAAAGATATGTAAATTTACTGCTGGGAATAAGGTGATATCTTCATGAAAATTAGATTTATAAGAAAAGTTACCCAGATGTACAAATAATTGCCTTTTTTTTTGGTATCACATCCTTCCTGGAAGTTGGTTTTTGTTTTCTCTGCTGTCCTTTTCTGAACTATAAAATAAATCTGTTCTTCGCTTGTTGAATTCCTGTGTAGGCACTTAAACAGTAGCTCCTAAAGTGTAGTTGCAGAATAAGGGGTTAGACATCTCAATACTTTATTAGTTCCTGTCCTAAATGTGTTTAAGAATTGCACTTTCAATTCCTTTGAATGCTTATAGAGCTGAACTCCTGCTAGACCACTGGGGTTTTGGCTTTGTTTCTTCTAATCTAAATTTTTAATACATGAATGCTTCCAATTCTGGCCTTTCTGCAGAACTTTGGGTGTTTTATCCAGCTCCTCATTTGATTGCTTTTGGTTTTTGGTTTTTGTTCTCCAAGTGCAAGGTGTGAAATCTATATGATTAAAATAAATAGAAACCCCATAATCAGTATGATGCAAATGGTTTGCCTTATGTTTGAAGCCTACTTCTGCTGTCAGACACTCAAGATCAACTACTATTGTCCTAAGTAAGGATTTGCACATGTGTCTGAGAATGCAATATAGGCCAGAAGCTCTTCAACATCTGTGAGTGAGGATGTAATTAAATATTGGAACCAGTACAGGAGCTGTTTGCTCTACTCAAATGATCCCAGCTAACTTCTATGTAACAGTGTTCAGCTCTCAGTATTTCAGAGCCTGACTGTAACCATTTCTATACTAGAATGACTAAATCAGATCAAAGATTTGTTTGGTTAATTGGTGCAGCCACAGAAAGTAGATGTAGTTACTCATTGTAAAGATTAAAGATAATATTGATGTAGCTGCAGCCATAATGAAAGGCTTGCAAAACGTAGTTACAAAAATCAAGCCCTGCTAACAAACAGGATGTTATCCTCTCATACGTTATTCTTGTGAGATTTAGTTGTATTGGCTGCAAACTTTGTGTTTCAGTATTTGGGTATAGTTATCTCTGCCTATCAGAGCTGTCATGTAGCAAGAAGTAATTGTAGAACTTGAACTGCTTGAATTCAAAGTCTAGTACATAAGCATGTGCTGAAAGCAGAAGTTCTTTACATCTCTCTACCCATCTGTTGAATAGTTTTAGACCAGAAGTAGACAACCTTGTTGTTACAAGAATGGTGGATTTTAGCAGAGGGGCAAGGAAAGAACAGGAAAGTACTTTTCAGTTACATCTGCATCAATTCTCACAATGTAGACTAAGACTTGTATGAACAGAGTTGTTAGAATTTCTTAATAAAAAGAATGCAGTTTGACTCAGGATTGTATCCCACAGAATTTCCCAAAAAGAATCATCTGTAGAAATAATTGGAGTATCCAATTTTTTATGAGCAAAAATTAAGGAGGATTTGTGAAGCCTGTGCTAGAAGAAACTTTACGGTGCTACCAGTATCTCAAAATCTCTTTGTGACTATGATGCTGCAGTCAATAGTTTTACAAGTTTGCTGTTCTTCAGGAAGATTTTGTCATGCCTATTTTAAAGTATTGTAGTTCACAAAAGGAACTGTGGAATTCACATGAGAATTTCTAATTCAGAGAGGAAAAAGTCAGGCTGAGAACAACCTTCTTAATGCTCAGAGAGCAAGTCTTTCTCTTGATCTCTGTAATCTGCAGAATGTGATTAAAGTCCCTGCACCGCTGGCAGTGGTGATGAATTGCTCGTATCAAACACTGACAGGTTTGGTTTATGGTACAGTTGGTCCTGCCCTGAGGGAGGAGAATCAACTATACCTACTGCCTTACAGGTACATTTTGTACCCTTCTGTGATGCTGTTGTTGAACAGTCAGAAAAGCAATTTGGGGATTTTTCACAGCATCCCAATGTCTCCTCTCATACTTCATAAAAAGATGGTTGTTTGCTCCCATTTGTATGCATCATAAGAGACCAGATTTCACATTATACTCATCCTCTCCCAACTTTACTTTTTTTTTCAAATATAGTCTCCTAATTTAACTTAACCAGTTAGGTTCTTTATTCACAAGTCTTCCTAAATGTTGGTTTCTTTCTTCCACTGAGACAGGTTTGTGTGGTTACACCAATAGGCTGATTTTGAATGTTCAGCAGAGGGCAGAATTTCCCACATTATAAACACCTCGGTGTCAAATCAATTTGTCTCTAGAATGTTTATTTTAAATGTGTGATTTACAGCATAACAGTGAGTAGTGATAAAACTCCCATATACTATCATTGTTAGCATGTTACTTTTTCCCCCATGAAGTTGTAGATAAAATGGAGTATCAGCAAATGTTAACACCATACTTCCCAAGACTTGCATCTTATCTTGTTTAAAGTGAAATGGGTAAACATTTTGTTGATAAGATTATAGTAAATATAACTTCCTGTACAGCTGAAAGAGCTAGTTTGAGACATTTAACATAAACTGCCAGATCCAAGGTCTCATGTATTTTCCATATGGGGAGAAGAAGGTACAACTGCTGAGTTTGATTTCCCAGTGCGTCCATCAAGAAAGGTTTTGCATCATGACAAGAGATCATATAATAATCATGTGATGTAGGTTTTTAGTTCACAGGGAACATTTATGCAGCAGTACAGCGCACTTTGTATGAATTAAGCTCCCTACTGTGAAGTATATTGCACAAAATCAACATCCAGCAAATTTTTTTAAATCTTCTGATACAAAATAATTGTGCAAATAACACAGGATGTGCTAAATGCTTCACCTTTTTTTATACCAGTATGAAGAGGGGAAGAAACGAAGAAAGCCCAACTACAGTAGTGTGGATCTTTCTGAGGTTGAGTGGGAAGACAGAGATGATGTGGTAAGTGATGTGTTTTAAAACCCTGTCAGAAGACGTTGTTGCATCCCACTACTGTACCTGGAAACTGTTTAAGTAGTCATTAGAGAGGCCACCTGACTGCTCTCAGGAAGGGAAGGACAATAGACCCTTTTACTTCATTCAGAATTTTACAACTGTTTTGTATTGTTTCTTCCTTACATATGCATATACCACAAACACAGACTCTTTGTATTTTTGGTAAAACTCATCACCCTTGCAGTCTCCATGCATCCCATTGTGTATTTTTGCTGGACAGCAAATACAACACGAGAGACAGGAGTAGAATGTCTCCTCGGGGCTGGCCCAGACAACTGCTGAAACTCAGAAATGAAAGAATGAGTTTAACTTCTTTCCGTGAGATCCCTCTTTCCTTAATGGAAGTAATGAGAGCTGTTTTACTTAATGCACAAAATCAAAAAACATCAGATGAATATACAAAATTGGATTCTTTGACCTGTGTGCAGAGCACAGTTTCACTCCCAGCTCCTGATTCCAGACACATGGGTAGCTGCAGGAGCATGCATTCTGTGTCTATCAGCTGTTATGCACACAATGCTCTCCATTAACCTCATTTTTCAGTGCTCCATCTACTCTGTAGTTCACTCTTTATCTTATTCTTTCTTACCTTCCAGGCTTAGCCTTTTCTGCAGTACTGTATCAAAAGCTTTCCTTATGTCCATGGCTTAACCTCTGCCTGGTCTTTCTGTCACTTCCTCAATAAATCTGATTTGTTAGGCATGATTCGTTTTGTGTGAATCCGCGCTGACTGTCCTTAATTAAATCGTAACTTTCCAGGTGTTCCCCTTTCTGTCCTGTAATTTAGTTTTTCCCATAAGTTCCCTACTGCCAAAGTCACGACTACATGTCTGTATTTTTCATAGATGTCTCCTCAATCCCTTCTCAAATATCAGTACTGTGTTAGCTTCTCTCAAGTCCCTCGTACCTCTGCTTTTCCAGAGAGGTTTTGAATATACCCACTGAAGGTTCCCATATTTACTTTGTTATGTCCTTCCGAAATCTGGGATGGATCACGTACAACAGCCCCTGGAGTCTTGTCAGTCTTCAAATGTACTAATTTCTTGATCCCTGTTCTGACATAAGTCTGTATTTTCCTTCTCCCTTACAAAATATATATCTTGCATTCCTCCCTCTCTCCACCCCCTTTGTGAATAGTGAAACAGTTCATCTATGTTTTAAGCAACGTCTGTTCCATGAGGTGATAGATTGTCCTCGGCCTCTCCTCGGAGGCCATCTTACTTCCTTAGTTAAAGTTTTGTGTTGGAGTGCACACACAAACTCTTTCTAATGTTTGTGTAGCTTTGTGCTGTTTCCTATGCACACACTATTTAAGGTTTCTTCATTAGATTTTCAGACACTGTAGCAGCCTTGGCAATCTCATTGGCTTCATGTTTTATACCTGGCTTTTTTTCTTATCTTTGATCACTTATTACTCAACCAGTTTCTCTGCTAATGACCTTTGAAAATTTCCTCTGTCCTTTCAAATGCTATTTCTGTAGTTACGTACAGCCCTTAAACCTTCGTGATTTTTCTTCTTGCTCTTTCTCTTTGGTTTGTTTTCTTTTTTTATATTTTTATTTCTTCCAATACTTCATCTGCTTAATTCTGAGATTTTAGTCCCTCATTTTTTCAGTGGTTCAGTTAATGTAACATTGAACTATTTCTATGGCATTGCAAATTTAGTTTTATTTATAATTGAGATTCTATCTGAATACACATGAAAGTCCAGATTAAACTCTATTTCCTTTTGTTGACACTCCTATGCTCTGTCATTTTTTCTGAAAATTTCTACCAGAAATTGCATTTTGTCTATCTGTAGGCCAAAAAATTTTCATTTCACATTTTGATGAAAGATACATACATACTTTTTATCTCACTTTTTGCCTTTCACCTATAAAACAAGCTTCTTAAAAATAAATTTTTAATTGTATCATAGAGACAAGCAGCACGTGGCTCTGCTTCACCCAAGACTTTGGATTTGATGTTCTTGATTTTTTCCAAGCTTGGGTAGTAAAGCATTGTTTATTCAACTGCAGAGGGAAAGAATTAATGTATTCATATAGCTACTTTTAATAACATAGACTACTACTGGGATACTTTTCTCCCATGAAACACTTCTGTGGAAGCTGATTAAGATTTTTTCTTAGTTTTTACCACATTAATTTAAAGGTTATGTAGTTTTCCAAGAATATAGAATGATCTCATGCTACAGCAGTGAAACTGAGTTGTTAGCAATTGATTGGAAGATATTTAGTTGAAGGAACAAGAATACTTATTATTCTGAAGAGATGAAGAAATTGGTTTTCTCTAGTGATCCAGTAAGGAAAAGGTGTCTGAACTAAGGTTATAATTTTTTTCACCATGAAATAGTGTTGTCATAAATATATCAGCTCATTTTCCAAGTTAACAATACCTGCTATCTTACTGTTAATGCATTTTATTAGAAACAGAAATTTTAGCATCAGCTTATTAAGTTAACAGTGTCTTCCAGCAAGGTTTGCAAATACACAGGACCAAAGAGGAGAAGTTTCAGTTTGGATAGAAACCTTTTTCTCATTAACTCACTTAAAATTCCTTTATTATAATTTCTAGCTGAATGAAATATTTTTTTTCCAAATAAAAAAGACCATGAATGAATGTTTTGGGGCTTGGAGCCAATTGAGGCAGTACTTATTTTATGCATTTGAGGAGGGAGATGAAACTGCAGAAGAGCTGAGAAACCAGATTACAAAGCCAAGAAATGCAATCACAGCAAGCAGGAAAAAAAAAAGAGAGAGAAAAGTAAAACTCTAAATCCCACATGCAGACTTGATCTTAAACACTACTGAGAGTTTGGAGAACCTTTTAGTAAATCTATGACTTGCCTGAGGCTTGTGGGAGGAATGGGTCTTAGACAACTGCAGGCACCAAGAGGAGAAAAATGAAAACCATGTTAAAGATAAATGGAACTGTTCTGTAAATGTTAGAAAGTAGATGGTTAATTAAGACCAGCTCTCCAAGTCCAAAACCACAAAACTTAAAATAGGAAACTATTTCCAGAATTGCCTATTATGTATTGTTAAAAAAAAAAATCTACAGTAAAATATATGCTTTATTTTATATATGCCTCCAGCTAAAAATTATTCTTTTACACTCACTGACAGAAGAGTAAGACTGTTAATTCAAATCTAGATGCCCTAGAATTAGATTTAAAGAGCTGCAAAGTTTGCAGTTTTTGATAGGTCAGCCATGCTCAACTTGTTCATGAGAATAAAACCAGATACTTCACTGGCAAGTTTAGTCATTCACTTTTCACTCCATACTAACTCAGAAAGCCTGCAGAGTGCATTTATAAGTCTGTCTTCACAATTTTTCATTAAAACCCGACCGAATTGCCCAATCTGGAATGAGGTACTCTGGAACAGGAGGTATTTATTCACTTGAACATGATGTTCAAAATTGTGTTCAGATAGATAAGCAATAGAAAAGACATAAAAATGCTCCCTTTGTCAATATTATTCTGCATTTTGAATATTGAATTGATTAGTGATAGTGGAATTTTCCAATTGTAATGAAAACTACAGCTGCAAAAGATTTATAGGTGATTTTTACCACAACAAGCGAAATAACTCACTTCTTCCATTAGTAAATCTAAGAGCAATCAAATGAAATGTTTCCATATATAGATGGTATAACTGTTAAGCAGTAACTTTCTTATTTCTTCCCTGAAATCCTGAACTGATAAATAGGCAAATTCAAAGCCCTAATGTTGAGAATTTCTCAGAAAAACCCCCCTGTATTTTCATTCTTCAGTTGCGGCCCAGGGGCCCTGCCCTCAGAGCAGCTGTGCCAGGGTAGCGTGTCCTCATCCTGCTGGTCATTTTGTCCTGTAGACCCGGGGGATGGGTGTTGGTATTTTTACTCTTCTTTTCATCATCATGGCATGTTCACCTAAGGGAGAGGGTGTGTGTCCTCTGGGAGGAAGACTCTTCTCTCCCAGGGAGCAAATAGGTGTGCTGAGGGAAGGGTTTTCAGAGGTGTTGGGAAAGGGACTTTGCAGCATAGGTTTGGGAGCTGTGTAGAGGCTAGAAAACAGTTACAGAAAAACACTGTGGTGATCTAGAAAGTAACAGATTTAACTTGCAGAGCAGCAGGTAAATCATTGTGTATAAACTCTTCTCCATTTATTTTCTGGTTTCCCTAGCTTCTCTGAGCTTTTGGTTTATACAAGTTACACAACTTGGTTTTGAGGGAGATTTAAAATGTCTCTTGGACAACTTTGAGAGGGAGAGGTCCAGGCCAATTCTTAAAGCTGTGACTGACTTAGGGCTTCCATTACAGAGCTAAAATTTATTACCTTGCAAGGGGCACCTGACACCAGAGGACAACTGAGGGAGTTGCAGAGCACTGCAGTTGTGTGTTCCCAGTGAAACAGGTTACTGATCAAACAGGCTGTCATTCTGTTTTCATGGGCTAGTTCTAATTTCTGATGCAGTTAGGATGAAGTTTCTGGTGCTGGTTTAGGATGCAGCCCAATGTAGATTCTTAAGCAGAATAAATAGTGTGGGGTAAGTGGTGTTTTCTCTTATTCTGTATAGTTGTCAATGTAATTAAACACTGAGCCCTGGTCTAACTTCACCTAAATCCAGCTATTTTACTATGAGGGATGCTGAAAGCTCTTATCTTCTGTGCCTTAGCAACGTGCCTAGAGTTGTATGGCAGGAGTCTTGGCCTATACAGTCAATAACAGAATCTGTAAGGGGGTTTTTCAGTGCATAGTAGAATTACTGAAAATGAAGAAATGAAGAAAATTGAGCATTGCTTAGGCCAAATGAGTGTACTGGAGAGCTCAGAGGTAAAAGAATTATCAAAAATGCCAATAAAGGGATTGACACACATTTCCTTTGTTTCAGCTCCGAAATGCAATGGTGAATCGAAAAACAGGGAAATTCTCCATGGAAGTGAAGAAGACAGTGGACAAAGGGGTACAGTGTCTAAAATATTATTCCAACTAAATATAAAGTGAGCAATAATTTTTTAAAAGTTTTTAAGTTTGCTATAAATATTATTCACTGCAGTATATTTTTTTTTTTTGCTCACTGAATGTAAACATTACTTGTAATTTTATCAGGGACTAACCACTTGATCTTTTATATATTTCTCATAGCAAACTAAATTCTTCCCCCATCCCCTTCTTTCTTGTTCTGAATCTAGAAGCGGGTATTGGTGATGACAAATGACTACTATTATACAGACATCAAGGGGACTCCATTCAGGTAGAGCCGACCATAATAAATGGACATTTCATCCAGCTCATTGGATCTGTGCTTATACAGAGCTTGTGAACTCATTAAAAGCTCATCAGCAAAAGCTGACAATGAAATATCCCTGGACAATGCTGAAAATAGCAAGGAAAAGGAGCCTACCAGCATTCCTTTCAGCTTTTCCAGGGATGGAAAGTTTGTGCAAGCTCACACAGGCAAACTCCCAGTGTTTGTCATGGCTTACGTTTCATTGAAAAAATATTCAGTTGAGGTTTACATTGAACGAAAGGCTTTCGAAAGTACTTGGAGAGCTATAAATACTATAATCCATTTAAGTAACTACATATTGAGCCCCATTTTGATTTTTTTTTTTTCCACAACAAGAATGTAATGTAAAATGAGATAGTATTTCACTTCCAATTTGAGGTTTGGATGTTTTTTTTTTTTTTTTGACTTCCTTTTGTTTTTTTTTTGGACTTGAACTTGGTTCCTTTGTTATTTTTGGCTTGCTTTTTGGCGGGGGGAAAAAAAAGGAAAAGAAAGACAGGTAGTCACTTCAAAAATGCTCATATTTGAATTAGAAATAATCCATTAATAAAAGAGTACTTATGGTAACTTATGCTTAAAGCAGAAGGGTGGCAGTTGCAATACTCAACTGAAATTTTCTTCAATGTAACTGTTTCACATAACTTGAGCTACATTGCCTCATAGAGAAACTATAGGCACGTTTCTCTGACCTCTAATGCACTGTTTATTCTTGTTGAAATTCACATGTGAGTGGTAATACTCAGCGTAGGTTTGGTTTTGTTTTTATTTTGTGGAATTTTTTGTTATTGCTGGGATTTTTTTGTTTGGTTGGGTTTTTTGTTTTGTTGTGTTTTTTTTTTCCTCTGGCACTATCTTACCCTATTAAGTAAACAGATATATGCATGCAGTGCAAGTTATGATGCTGAGGACAGAAATATTTAGGGAAAAGTCCTGGTTTTTAGCATGGTATATATCTAGTTTTGATGGGTTGTAGTGTAGATTTGGGAATACAGCAAGGGCAACATTTATTAAAATCTACAGTGTAGTGTCAAAGATTTTTAGTGTTCAGCTGTTGATTGCAGCTTGTGTGCTCTTGGATTTGGTGCCTCTACATGTACTTCAAGTACTGGCAGATTCTTAGCCTGAGATAATCCCCTTGAATGAATGAATGCCAGAAGGTATTCTGTGTATGTGTTCAATAACAAGAGGCATGGGATCCCCAGCCATTAAACTTGGATAGTTTAAATGGTAGACTAAAAACCAAACCAAAACAGAGTATGTAACTGTTTATAATTTATGAAGCCAAAGTCAATACAAAAGAGCTATACGAGCTCAAAATATGAAACACAGAAAAATTAGTCCAAGAGGAGTCATGATGCTGTTGTCACACTGGAAATTTTTTTCCTCTCAGTAGCTCCATCAATTCCCACACTTCTGTAGTTTCTCAACAGCTTACTCTGAATAGAAAAAATTGTCTCCTTCATTGTAAGGCCATGGGCATGTTCAAGGCCCAGCTGAAGAAATCTCCTGCTGGGTGAACAGCAGTGAGCTTAGAGGGGCTCATTTATTAGTTTGCCAGAGAATAATGGTTTACTGCACCTCTAAGCACACATAAATACAGCCAATTGTTGCAGCCACATCATTGAAGCAACTAGTTGTAAAATAAATATAATCTGTGAGGGTTTGGAAACAAAGTTTTAAAGTTAATCATAGTACACTAGCTGGAGATGTTAGAAATGAAAATAGCTCTGAATGTCTGCTATTGTTTGTCTCACAGATTTCAAGGTCTGCTTTATTTCTCTGCACAGTTTAGGTGTGGCTCTCTCTAGAGGACATGGAAAATATTTCTTCAGAGGGAACGTAACTGTAGAAGAAGGTAAGATACCTACCTTCTCATGTTGCTTACACAGTAGTTTTATTGTTGATTTGGTAGTCTTAAACCTTTTATGTTTGTCTGCAGATTCCATAAGGTAATTAGATTTTTTTCTTTTCTTTTCTTTTTTTTTATATTTTATTTGAAGATCTTTTACTTCACAGGATTTTTGTCCTCAGTTATATTAAGCATAGTCAGACTGTGAATCTTCTTTAGATGTGATCATCTTCTGTCCTCTCTCAATGTTCCAGAGAATCACTCAGGCCCAATGTTAATTATTTGTGGTGTTTTCTAAATGAAGTAACCACTAAGAGCACTGTAATTGTTATGGCATTTTTGTTCACAGACTATACATCGTGAACTCTCTCAGAGCTATAATTGCTTTGGGCATTATCTACAAGGATTTACATATTTATAGCAGCAGTAGAGGTAACCAGGGAAAGAACTGTTCTTTCTTCATGGTTTTGCTTTTTGATAAGTCCCCAGTTAAATGAGTGCAGGAGTCCACTGTGTGTGGTGATAAAAGGTGTTTTGCAACGAGGTTTCTGAAGATGAAGGAATAGTAGAGGCATTTCAGAAGATTGAAGAGAGATTTGAGAAGTTTTAGAAATTACTGAGTAAAAAATGTTTCAATACGGGAATTCTTTCAGATTTTATGCTGAAGTCTCCATTTCCAATTCTTCTTGTTTTGTCAGTGATGTCAGACAAGATCCTTAATTTCTTCAGGTCTTTGTTCCTCAGCTGTATTTTGTGACACGAATATGTTCCTGTACTCAGGAGAGATATAAAAAGAAATGCTTTGAAGTTTGAGTCACTTGAGCAGCAAATACAAGTCTAGATAGAAAGAGAGCACAGCAGGAGATGCAGAGCTGCTTGCTCTCCAAACTGTTCCCAACGCACCTCTCACCGATGTTCTTTAATCCAGCCACACATCTCAGCAGTCTGTCTGATATTTGCTCCCAGATGCATCACCAGAAGTGTTAACAGAACCATAACTAACAGTTCCTTCTCTCCCACTCTTAACCTTCACTGATTCTCCATCACTGACACTTCACTGTCCTCCCCAAGGATTGCAGTTGTAGTTCTGGTTTTGGCTTCCCTGCTTTCCTTAACCGCTGTTGGTTTGTCATTGTTTATTATGTACTCTGGCAGGTTAAACCCAGACCCTGCCTTCTGATCCCTATTTTCTTATTGTCTATTGATAAGTGTTTTAAGAGTTTTTAAAATTGCCAAAGTACATTTTTATTGTGCTATATAACTAATGATATAGTTCTTATTTACAAGCATTTGCGTGACCTGTTAGCACAAAAAAACTATTCTGAATGATCCCATAAATTGCTGTTTGTGTTCATGGGCTGTGTCCTTAGGTTTTGAGGGAATTACAACTTTTTTCTTTAAAAGAGAAGGAGAACAACTCACATGAAATGAGAAGTGTGTATTTTAGCATAAAGAACTTTACTGGCCAAAGAGAACAAGGGAATATGAAGAGGAGTCTGTTACCATTTTGTATTTGTCTTTATTCAGATTTTCTTCCTAACTTTAAATATATTATGCGAGTAATTTGTATGAGTTAAACATACTAGCAAAAAAAGTTTTCCTACCTTTTCAGTTTTAGATCTGATTTAGCTGGCTTTTGCAAGTTTGTTAGACCCTGAAGTGTATTTGAGCATAGTTTACTGTGATTTATTTCGTCGTGGTAATAATGCACTTTCCAAAAAGGGTTTATGTTATGGAGTGTATGCAAATAACCATCTGTTACCCAGACTGCTCCCTAAGTAACCCATTATTATTACTGTTACAGGTTTACATGATTTAGAACACCCTGATGTGTCTTTAGCAGATGAATGGTAAGCCTTAAATAAAGCATGAAATTGGTGTCTGTTACCCTTCTTGGTTTCATATTGTTTGTGCTTGCAGAGCCCAATTCTTTATGTTCGAAGACAAAGAGAGATCATTCTTACACATATAATAACATTTTAATGTCTTGACAACGTGTTCACAGGTCCTATTGCAACACTGACTTACATCCTGAGCACCGTCAAATGACTCAGTTAGAAGCCATTAAACGCTACCTCACGGGAAAAGAGCCATTGCTGCAATGCAAGTATTTTGTTAAACATGCACTTAAATAGGCTTTAGCCCAGCTAAAAACTGTTGCACTGAACCTTCTACAAAATGGAAAGCTACTTAGTTCAACCAGTGTTGGTTGGAGATAGGATTGCTTGGCTGACGTTACTTTGGAATTTCAGTTGGTGTTGAGCTTTATCCAGGGTATCAATAAAGATATTGATGATTCAGATTTCTGACTTTTGCGGTGAACAATATGCCTGAAACAAAGATTCAGGTTTCTTTTCAGATGATGTAGCTATGCAAAATTATCACTCCATCTGGTTTTGTAAGTTAAACAGAATTGGTCTGAATCAATCCTTGGATCATGCCTCTAAAGAGTATATGAGATATTTCATGAGCATCTTAGGGAGGATGGGTATGCAATTAGCATTTCTGAACTGCAAAGTAGAATAAAAAATTCAAGTGGATAAGTGCATATTCTGCCCACCTGCAGAAATGTGAGTGTTAGTAGACCTGCTTGGTTTAACCTTATGTCATGTGCAAATGGGAGCATTAGATAATGTATACATGGACAAGTTACAAGAGAAGTGGAGGATCAATGTTTGGGTTTTTATCTAAATTGTTTTTAGTGCAATGAAATTATATATGAAAAACTGCATTGTTGTAAAATACCATTTAATTTTACACAGTAAGTGCCTCATAGTGCAAAACTTTTGAAAGCATATCACAGATAAAATAATGTACAATGTAAGAAAACCTATTGTCTAGTCATCTAAAAAAATTTCTCTGTATGCACATGCATTTACTGATTTTAATATATTGTGATAGGTGATAAAGAATTGATCCAGGAAGTTCTGTTTGATGCAGTTGTGAGTGCACCAATTGAAGCTTATTGGACCAGCCTAGCATTGAATAAATCAGAGTAAGCAGGCTTTGTGTCAACCTTATCTATCAGCCATGGGTGTATTTTTGACAGATATGTTAGTGAACTGGTGGCATGTCTTAACAAATTCTGATATGCATGAAGATATTATTTTAACCATTTGATCCCAAATAGCACCAATTTCGAGTTCAGTCTTAAGTGCTTATCTTGAAGTGTACATCACGGTGATTAGTTGTAATTTCCACAGTAAAACTAATGAAATTCTATACTTGGTTGCTTGAGCAACATTCACACCTATGACTTGAAGCATAGACATACTATGGAAGTGTTGAATGGACTGGGAGCAAGATCTGGAATTCCTGCCCATCTCAGAATCACTGAGTGCCAGTGGCTATTAAATAGTTGGTATATAGCTATGCCACACCTTTTTGTGCTATGACTTCCATATAAACCCTCCCTACAAATCCTTCAAAATGTACTGTCTTTGACTTTTTAGTGATTTTTGGCCTAAATAGCATTTCTACACTGCATATTTTTCAAAACCCACGTGTCTATAACTTAAAAACCAGCATTTAAAAATAAATCACTAAATAAGAGAACTATGCTTAAGATAATATTTCTCAAAAATTACAGTACACTTGTACTTTCTTTGACCAGTAATATAGCTTTATCTTTTTTGCTCTCTAAAAGCAATATCTTTGCCATTTCAGAAACTCTGACAAAGGAGTGGAAGTTGCCTTCCTTGGAACACGGACTGGACTCTCTCGTATCAATCTGTTTGTGGGTCCAGAGCAGCTCACTAACCAGTAAGTAACAAAGCTGTGCTTGGCAGCCATATAAGAAAAGAAGGGAAAAAATGTTTATTTTTATGAAGCCCATCTACTGTTTCTTCAGATAGAACAAGTTAGAAAGATCTCATAGGATCCCTTAAATTCTTTGTTCAACTGGAACATTTGGAACAATGAACTATTTTACAGGAGTAGCCCATGTGTTTACTTTCTCCACACACATACTCCCAACCTCACATCTTTATTCTTCAGAGCAGAATTATGAAAATGCTACACCTGCAGATGATGATGGTTTTTTTTTACTACCCCACCTAAAAACAAGTACTTGTAGGCTTTTTCAGAGATTTTGCATCACTGTTCTGGAAAACATTTTCAGTGTAGAAATAAAACCAAGTGGCAGAAGTGGACTGAGTGTAAGAGTAATCAAGAGATCTCATTGCATAATGAGGGTTTCCTATTTTGCTTGGAGAAGATGTAATCTAATGGAGGTATTATGCATGCAAAAGAAAATATGCATTTGATATTTATGATAATATAATTTTATAAAATATAATTTTATTTAATATAAAATTATATGGTGCCTATCTGACCACAACTACTGTTGAAGTAGCCTGACAGGTGAGATCAATAGCACTCCAATTTTTTACTGTCAGACAGCAAACCAGAACAGCTGTGTGGACACTATACTTTCTCTTGTCACTTGACATGACTTTTCCTCTGTCAACATTCCCTGAAATTACTGAGGAATAAAGTAGTTGTTTATTGAGGAATAATTACTGAGGAATAATGTAGTTGTCCACTACCACCCCTTACATAGCAACTGGAAAGTATGCTGTAAAATAATTTCTTTTTTTCACTACTTAACAGCAAATACCAGTGGCAACAGCCTGTCAAATCTCTAGTGCCTTTTCCACCTTGTACAGTTCACAGTTCTTACATTGTGCTAAAAGAGAAAGGCCTTTTAGACTAAACATTTTTATTTGTACACATCAGTAAAAATGTTTTTAGTAGTACTTAGAGGTACTATTTTTCAGTACTTTTTCCATCTTTCACAACAAAAGTGATTGTAAGTGTGTCACAAATATTTATTAGTGGCTAAATTTAACTCTCTTGTTGAACAAACGGTATTAGAAGAATTGTTCCAAACCATTTCTTTTCCCTAAAAATTGCATTTTGTTTTTTTATTGTCTTTCAAAGCTAGAAACTGTTGTGTGCCACGCAACAAATAACAAGTGTTTTCTGTCTCTCTTTTTTTCTCAAGAGACTTCCTGACAGCTGAAGATAAGGAGAACATTTTTAATGCTGACCATTTTCCACTCTGGTACAGAAGAGCTGCTGAGCAAATACCTGGGAGCTTTGTGTATTCAATCCCATTCAGCACAGGTCTGTCATTTTGTCATTCTCTAAATTCTGAGCTATATATGATGCTGAAAGGATTCCAAGTATGTCAGTACTGAGTGGGCTCTGTAGCTAATCTCCAGTGTTAATCTGAAATGTGCATTGAAATCTGCAGCTACTTTACTGGCTCTTTGTCCAGGTGCATCTCTTACAGGGCTCCAAGGGGAACCCCAAGGTGTGCTGTAACACTTTGCTTTTAATATTTGCAAAGGTTGAACTTACAGCCTGGTATTTTAAGCAAGACAAGTCCAACAGAACAAATGTTCACACTAATGAGAAGCCCAACCAAAAGTTGTCACCTTTGTTGCCATTTTAGCAGAGTCAAAACCTGATAATCATTTCAGTGTTTTGAGCTTGGTTTTGGGATGCTGGGGAATTTAAAATGGCAGTGCCTGTATGTTCTGTGCATACATATAGAACATGATGTTTACTACTTTATTTTCTGAGCACTAAATCCGTGTGGACTGTTATTTCAAACCAGGGGAAAAAAAGCTCAGTTGCCTCATTCTGCAGTATGTTTTTTCAATTATTTTTACTTTTTTTTTTTTTAATAAACCCTGCAGAAACCGCAAACAAGAGCAATGTAGTGACAGCCAGTACTGCTATCCAGCTTCTGGATGACAGGAAATCTCCAGTGGTTGCAGGTACAATTGTTGTAGTTTATTTGGTTTGTTATTTTTTTTAAAAATCAGTTTAAGCATTTCTCACTTTTTTGGGTTAGCAGATATTTAATGTAGAAATATGATTTGAGAAGGTATCACATATAACCAGTTCTAATATTGCATCAACAAACTTTGGGTTTGGTTGTTTGGTTTTTAGTTANCTTCCATTTCCCTAATAATTGTTTAATATTGAACATTAAAAATTGCTTGGGTCTTGTATTTTCTATCTAAGATAAAAACAAGGTCTTTAAACCTTCTAAATGCTAAAGCATGTAAAAAAATTCTGTGATATCTACAAATGCATAATGCCATGAAAAATAAGATTGGTGAACTTACAATCTGAAGCTCGTCAGTGTTTTTTTTTTACTTCTAATTCTGTAAACTTTAAAAACTGTGTGCTAGATGTTTTGTTTACAGTATGAAGCATTTTTAAGAATTTGCTTTGAATAATTTTTCCTTTTTCTCTTGTATGGCTGCATGTTTTCAGTTGGGTTTTTTTTGTGGGGAGACCTCTTTGGATCTGTATAAACCTTTTTCCATGAAAGTATCACTCAGCCAGGAATAGCCATTCGGAGACAAACAAGTATATGCATTATTCTTGTCCTGTTTAAGTTGGAGATCACAAATGTGACTTGTCAGTCCTACTTTTTTTCTCTCAGAAAACTTTTAAGAAAGTACCCAGCATCTAGTCCAAGTTTTAGGTTTTGCTATAAGGGTGACAATATTCTGTTTTAAGCAAAATGGATTTGGAGGCAGAAACTGGAGCAGTGGTAAATGGGAGAAGTTTGAAGTTTTTATTAGCCAGACTTGGGAGACTAAAGTAAGATTATGGGTAACATTTTCAAATACCTCCATTGGAGTTCAAATTTGGCCAAAACGTCTCATTTTAATTTGTGTGAAGTAAGCACTCCTTATCCCCATTTGGTCTGAGTAGATTACAGAAAGCAGCAGGATGGGGATACACATTTCATGTTAAATCACTCTATTCCCTAGAGGGATTTGACTGAAAATAAAGCTGTGCCAGAATGTTGTTTATTACAGATCGCTACAACAGTTTAAAACTGGCAGAGAGAAACTAGAACATTATTATAAAATGAAAACCTGAATGAGACCTGCCCATGAGGTGGCAAAAAAAGGAACAAAACAGTTTCTTAGTACAAAATCTGTAGTTTCTTCTATTTTCCTACCTACACTAAGGCTTATTGCAAGTAAGGAATGTTCAACTCTATAATATAGGCAGAATATCCTAAAATCAGTGAGTCTGCAGACTGTTACTACAGAGAAATTGAGTGTTGCTGCTGTTTCACCATCTGTACCTACTAATACCAGTTCCCTGTCAGAATGTGTTTGCTTATTGGCAAAAAACCCATGTAATTTGTTTTCAAAATCCCTCCTGCCTCTCGCAATTGAGATTGTGATTTTATTTTTTTTTTAACTTAAATGAATGCTAATTTCTACAGAAAGTGTGGAAGGAGAACATAAGGCTTTAATATATAAATGTAGTAGCATCATATATATTTCTGTTTATACAGAGCTCAATTTACTTGCTGGAGAGGAAGTAACAGTAGCACCAAATGCAGGGATTTTTTTAGATTTAAACACATTTACGGTCAAAACTACTTTAGTTGAGTGTTTTCTATGACCATGTCTTCTATTTCAAGTTTACATTGAAATTTTAAGCATCTTCAAAATATCCCTGTTACATTGTGACAGAGAATAAAAGATGGTGGGATTTTTTTTTTCTTCTCAACATGACCTAAAAACAGGAGAATGACCCAGTCCCTAGTCCTGAAATTTCATGAGATTCCTTCAAGATTAGTATTCCTTAAAAATAAATTATTAAAGATACTACTCACCTAGACAGTTCTGAACAAGATATGGGGATGGAAACAAGCAAATAAGAGTCATCATGGTGCAAAGCAGGCTCTAAAAATTGAAAAAATGGTTCTTTCCTGAGATTTTGGGAGTGTTAAGAAAGTAAGTGAACCTTCATAACAGTAATTCCCTGTAGATGCATTTTAGTTCAGAAGCTGCAGTACAATACAGGACCTTAAAAGCCCTTCCTGTTGAAAGAGGCCATCGCTGTTCACAGAAACCATGGAAATTATCCCCTTGGTATGTTTAATTAAAGATAGCAGCACTGACATAATCTTCTTAGGGCAAAAATTTATTAAAGAATGCTGAAGAAAATGTCTGATGAAAATTGTCAAGTCCTCTTAACTTTTCTTCGTTGAACAAGCAGAACCTGGATTTCAAGCCTCATTGGAAACGTCCATAGCAGCGCTGAGTAAAATACTCTGGACACTTATTCAGAAGAAGGAAAGATTAAATCATACACAGGCAAAGTCTTTAGCCTCACAGTCATTTGAAATTTAAAATTTGAAGGAGATGAGGAGAAATAGTCCATTTTTCTTTAATACAAGGCTGCTTAGAAAAGCTGAAATTAAGTACAATTTTCCTTAATCCTTTTGTGCCTATTTGTGTGCAGACCAGTTATTTACATGAATTGCTAAGGCTGGAATTGACCTCTTGAGATCATGTAGTCCAATCCTAGTGGAGTAAGATTTGAGAGAATCTTGAGCTAGAGCAGATTAACCAGAACTGTGTCCAGCCAGATCCTGAATGTCTCCACACATGGAGAGGCCTCACCCTCTCTGGGTGTGTTATATTAAATGTAACTAGATAGGAAAAACAGCTGGGGCTTTATTATTTTTGCCACCAATTTTTAAAAATGTAGAATTCAAAAAAAGTTTTGTTTCTGTGGTACCAAAGTACAATGAAAGAGTACCTATTTATTTTCTACCAATTGTTTTTTATATGATCAGTTTTGTTTTGGGCTTCCTAATTATCAAAGTTAAAATTAGAAAACACCGACTCCTCCTTGCATGCATGCTCTTCTGTGGTCTGTCAGTCAAAATCAATTAATATTTTAATTTCATTTTAAAATTCATTTTAAAAACATGAAAAGCTTTACCAATACATGAGACCTGTAGTTTCTGAAATTGGGCAAGCCCTAACTAGAATAGTATATTAACAGAAGCTCACTGTAGCTAAATTAGTGAGAAATGAAACTACTCCCACTATCTGAAAATTTCTCTTATTCAGTGGAATTCTGGGGAGAAAAGAAATCTATGTTTTTCTTATGTACAGGCATGTTTACAGTCATTTTCTATCAAAGAGCAGTGATTGCCTGGGACGTGCATTCAAGCGTTGCCATAGCTCTGTGAATCTACCCTGACTCATTCTGCTCTGCTGAAGCTGCATAAAAAGAGCAATTGCAGTAATTTCTGTTTGGACAGAAGAGAAAAATCTGGTTTTCTTCATAATTGCAAGATTTTTGATTGGTGTGTTTGTTTTTCTTCCTTATGCCGAGTTCCTTGTACAGGTTGTGGCTGGAAAATCAGCTGCTCTCAGAATCTTCTGTGGCAAAAGTTACCAAAAGATTTGTGAGAATGCCAGACTCACAAGGATTAGATTTTGCCCTTTATGAACATGTTGAATAATAGTTATACTTTTTTATGTAGTCTTTTCAAGAGAATACATCTATTAATTTCAGAATGATTAAAGATGGCCAATTTTTTCTCACAGACGTCACATTTTCTGCTGCCAAGCAGTAAAAGCTGAAACAAAAATGAGAGATACTTTCTACCACCCGTGATTCATAACTTTATACAGTGGCTTGTCTCTATGTGGGTGTCTTGACAGAGAAGGTTACAAGGAATCTGTCCTTAAATGCATGGCAGGTGCCTTTAATTCCATAGTAGATACTGCCAAAGGTTGGGTTACTCCCTGTTCTTTGCCACAATAATGCTGTGAGACTAATAGAAATGATTTGTTTTGTAAGAGATTTCTTGGAAAGAAATATGCACTCATGGCTTAGTAGAATAAAAGAAACACCTACTATTGATTTGTGCTAAAACCATAGATCATGCCTTAGTGTTATTTTATAGATATATAATTTATATTTAAATATGAACTAAAATATATTTAAAATATAATGAGCAGGTCATTGTAGTCAAATGTGGGAGGTGTTACCGAAACTGAAGAAAAGCCTCCTCTGTTCACTGAAAGTTTGATTTTAAATGCTTTTACCAAAAATCCTTACTATGCAAACAAGGAATATTGTGTTTTATTCTGCCAAACAAATTGTTCCAACTAATACCAGGATACAGTATCTAACTTTTCCAGTATTTAACTTCTCGAAGTTGATCCCTTATTTTTATAACCAACCCATACACAAATTCAAGGTTTTTACTTCAGAGTCTGGTTAGAGAGAGATTTTTTACAGGTGTCCTCATCCATCACCTTATTTGTTCTCTCTTTTATATAACTTTAAACCCCAACTTTATTATGGTAAAAAAATTCAGTTATTCCATGTTAAATATTCCTAGTCAGGATGCTAAAAGCCCTCAGGTATTTCAAATGACACAGCTTGAATATTTAAGACCTCCTTTTTTTTTTCCCATCCATAAGCTAAGGAAGATGGTAATGATTTAATTTCATCACTGATTTGTTAAAATTGGCACTCAATTTTGAATGCCTCTATTCTGGCTAGTGGAAAGTGATCCTAATGGTCCTGCTGTTTAAGATATTTCAAGCTGTGCCTTGAGAACAGGAAAGATCCAAAATCTCATATTACTTCTGAAGTACAAATCAGTCTCATTGAGACTGGTCACACTTCAGGTTTTCGTTCCTCCTGTTTAAATCAGCTTCTACAGAACAGCAATTTAAAAGGAAAATTTGTGAATATACCAGTTTTCAAGTAACCGAGGCTTCTGCTGATCTAGGCTCTAAGTAAGGAAGATTATCTTATAATTTCATGAAGGACAATGGTCACATTGTATCTGAAAATCAGTGACTTTATGACACAAAAATTTTGCTCTTCACCCTGTGTTCCCTTTTTTTTTTTTTTTTATGTGTTAATATTTGTATATACGTGACCTCAACACTCCATTCAGGGTTTTTTTGAGTGAATTTAAATG